CTTTTTTGCTGACTCAGTGAGCGTCATTAGAGTTGTTTGCAGGCTGTAAGGGAATTTATTTGACTGCATCACTAAAGAAAATGTACCTCCCACCCATCAGAGTTTTAAATTTGTTTATTATTTGCTTTATTTAAAAAAGATTTTCTTAAATTTAATTTATATGTATAGGTGTTTTGCCTGCATGCATGCTATATACCTGTTGAATCTCCCCTAGAACTGGGATTATAGATGGTTGTGAGCCACTGAATGGGTGCTGGGGAATTGAGCCCAGGTTCTTTTCAAGAGCCACAAGTGATGAGCTATCTCTCTAGCCCTACTATATTGTTGTCTTTTGAGAATGTTTTTAATTGCTCCTGTAGGGTTCTAGTAATGGGTGAGACAGAGTAAGCATGTTCTGCACAGCCTCTCACACAGAGTACAGGCAGATCTGCTCAGACAGTGTAGAGTAGCAGGTTGAGGGTTTGGAGAGAGCAGGGTTTATAGTCCCAGCAAGCCAAGTCCCCGGTATGGACTCAAGGCAATCAAACCCAGAAGTGCACCAGGCTCAGTCATGCATCATGCATGACAGAGCTTTAGGCTGACACCTCCAATGTGTGTGTGTGTGTTACACTTACTTATTTTGTGTGCTTGAGTGTGTTTGGGGGCTGGAGAGATGGATCAGCCATTAAATGCTAGACTCACAACCAAAAATATAAGAGTGTGTTTGAATGTGTGTGTGTGTGCCACAACATGTAGAAGTCAGAGGACAATTTGCAGGAGTCAGTTCTCCTTCCCCAGTGTGGGTTCTGGGTAATCACTCAGGGTGTTAGGTTTTGCAGCAAGCACTCATACTTGCTGAGCCATCTCGCGCTGCCCATCTGGCTTCTGGTTCTGAAAGGGTCAGAAGAGAAGCGAGTTCTAGGACAGCCAGGGCCACACAGAGAAACTCTATCTCAAGAAAGAAAGAAGAAAGAAAGAAAAAGAGAAAGAAAGAGAGAGAGAGAGAGAGAGAGAGAAGAAAGAAAGAAGGAAAGACAGAATAAAATAAAAAATCAAAAATAAAATATAATATTTGAAATCAGCTTAAAAATAAGATGACCAGCCGGGCCGTGGTGGCGCACGCCTTTAATCCCAGCACTTGGGAGGCAGAGGCAGGCGGATTTCTGAGTTCGAGGCCAGCCTGGTCTACAGAGTGAGTTCCAGGACAGCCAGGGCTACACAGAGTAACCCTGTCTTGAAAAACCAAAAAAAAAAAAAAAAAAAAAAAAGATGACCAATTGCATTGCAGTAAACCATGTGACTACTGAAATCCATTCTCTAGAACCTGGAGCATATGATGTAACTATAGGATGGTTCTCTAGAACCTGGAGCATATGATGTAACTATAGGATATTCAGACAAATGTCAAAAAGACATGGCAGATGTTCATCTTCACCCAAGCATACAATTCACAGCTGTTAAAATTCCCCACTCCAGTAAGGTGTGTTAACCCCAGCCTTTAATCCCAACAAAGGCAGGTAGATATCTGTGAGTCTGAGCTCAGCCCTTTTTATGTATCTTGCTCCAGAACTGCCAGAGCTACAGAGCTACACAATAGAGACTCTCTATATATAAAAACAAACAATACTTCTTGCATACTGTTTCCAACTTTGGTTCACCTGAACTGAACACCAGTCAGCATCAAGGGAATTAAATTCATTTATACATGTTCTTTCTCATTCACTTTCACTCTCCCCTCTCCTCTGTCCCCTTCTCTCTTCTTTCCCTCCCTCCCTCCTTTTATAGTGCTAAAAGTAACCACTGACCCTGTATATGAAACAAAATGCTACTATTGAGCAACATTCAGTCCTGCCATTCTCTTAAAAACCCTTATTTAAGTCAGAGGAATAGGTTTCTCTTCCTAGAAAACTGTAGCTGTGTCAAATTGACAAAATACCCAACCAGGACAGAGACCTTCCTAAGGATCTCTCTCAATCCCTGCTCCTGAGCTTTGAGTAGTCAAGTGACTCCCTTGCCCCCCACCCTCTGATTTTCTGAGACAGGGTTTCTCTGTTTAACAGCCCTGGATGTCCTGGAACATACTTTGTAGACACGCCTGGCTCTGAACTCACAGAAATCCACCTGCCTCTGCCTCCTGAGTGCTGGGATTAAGGGCATGTGCCACCATGCCTGGTGTAACTATCTCTTTTTAAGCAGAAGACGGCTGGGCATTCCAGTTCTTAGAACTATAAGTACAGCTAAGGGTCAGTCAGCTGGCAAGAGGCAACGCGGAATGGACAGCAGCCATTTGAGTTCTCTGATTAAAAAGCTTCTCAAAAATCAAGGGAAGGGAGGTCAAATGTCAGATTAAAAAAAAAAGAGCTTCTGTTAAAGTGTATTTTAGACCGGGCGGTGGTGGCGCACGCCTTTAATCCCAGCACTTGGGAGGCAGAGGCAGTCGGATTTCTGTGTTCGAGGCCATCCTGGTCTACAGAGTGAGTTCCAGGACAGCCAGGACTATACAGAGAAACCCTGTCTCAAAAAAAAAAAAAAAAGTGTATTTTAAGGTTAAAATAACCACTAAGGTCTGTAGTCATTCCCATTTTGAATGTCAGTTTCTTTTTCCATTAGTATTCTATTGATAGTCTCAATTATTGTCTGTGCTTAGAAATGGCTGGAGTTGGCGAATACCAGACAGACATCTAGCTGATGAGCAAGAGTCGGATGGCTCTATTAGTTAACCTTCAAGTCATTATTAAGTGACCCAATCTAATAAGCCAAGCAATCTCTTTTTATGTAAGTCTCTTTAAGGAAATTACAGGGTGTTGGGAGCAACTTACCATGCACAGAAAATCTCATACATACAAGTACATCTTTCTTCAAATAATAAAAAGCAGTAGAATAAATTGAAAACTAACTGGTATTTTATTTCCTTTAAACATCTTGGTAAAAGTGGCCCAAATTTTGAAAACACATGAGATCAAATCAGATAAAGAGAAATGCTTAGCAGACCCAACTTTATTTCTGTACTTGGGGAGGGGGGTCCATTAGAATACTAAACTTTGTAAGTCAGTTGTTGCCCTTTAAAAATAATTAAAAAGTCTTGAAGAAACCGGGCTGTGGTGGCGCAGGCCTTTAATCCCAGCACTTGGGAGGCAGAGGCAGGTGGATTTCTGAGTTCGAGGCTAGCCTGGTCTACAGAGTGAGTTCCAGTACAGCCTGGGCTGTAAGAGAAACCCTGTCTCGAAAAACCAAAAAAAAAAAAAAAAAAAAAGTCTTGAAGAACCAAAATAAATAAGTAAATTAATTAATTAATTAAAAAAAAAGCACGGGCTGGAGAGATGGCTCAGTGGTTAAGAGCACTGACTGCTCTTCCAGAAGTTCTGAGTTCAATTCCCAGCACATGATTTTTTGAGACAGAGTTTACATATGGTGGCTCACAACCATCTGTAATGGAATCCAATGTCCTCTTCTGTCTTCTGGTGTGTCTGAAGACAGCGAGAGTGTACTCACATATATAAAAAATAAATAAATAATTCTTTAAAAACAAACAAAGAAAACACAAAATGTCAAGCCACAGTCTCCTTGAAGCCCTGGGAAATGTGAGTCGAGTGACCTGTGTGTGAGATCCGCAGTGACAGTCAGGCACAGGAGTACACACCACAGAAGACTAGGGGCTCAAGGCTAGTCTAGGCTACAGAGTGAGACACTGGACACACACACAGACACACGCACACAGTAACTGTTAACTAAGATTCCCCTGGGAAGGGAGCTATGCCTGGGACAACAAACTCAAAGGCTGGAAGTGACATGGGCTCTAGCAAGGTTTTTTCTTTCATTTTGTTTACTGTTTTGTTTCCAGGCCCTACCATGTAATACCATATAGAGGCTGCAACAGTAGATGCTTGGCTAAATCCATAAAATAAAAACCGTCTGGGAAGAGCTTTCTGAAGCCACGAACATGCCACACAAAGAACAGGGCTCCTGACTCCAGCTCACACTGGGCTAACAGCTTCTAGCCAACCTGCAATCAAGAGCGGTCTCTATATTTCTACAAATCTTTTTAATGTTCAAGATTAATTAAGGAAGAGATAGGTCCTTCTACCTACCTCTGCATCCAGTCAGTTTCACAGTTAGGAGCCTTATGAAAACTCACTGCTTGCCCAGGAGTGGAAAAGGATGGAAGACAAAACATATTCCAATATTGTTATTAAAATAATGCCAACCCATGTACCCCTGAAAGTGTGAGTGCTTCCCTGTAAGACACGGTTAAATGCCATACTTTGATCAGTGTTTAGGAAAGATTCTCAAACACTAACGGGCATGGGAGATAGAAATGAGAAAGGAAACCATCACTGCTGCACTGCCACTGGCACCAACTCTCCCAAAGAAGGCCTGAATTGAAGCTCATGGTTTCAACCACTGCACTAGCAGTTCTAACCTATGGGGTGGGGTGACCCCCAGGGGTTACCTAAGACCACTGGAAAACACAGATAGTCACATTACAATTCATGACAGTAGCAAAATTAAGTTATGAAGTAGCAATGAAAATAATTTTATGGTTGGTTATCACATGAGGAACTACAGTTGCAGCATTAGGAAGGGTTGCAGCATTAGGAAGGGTGAAGATCACTGCCCTTGACAAAGAAGGCTGCCCAGATAAAGCTGCATAAACTTCTAGACCCTGATAGGGACCTAACATTCATGTAAGTTTGGGTTATCTAGAGTATCTGAGTTCTGGACAATAAACATATAACGGCTTTTGAAATTTGTTTGTTACCACCTGACACACATCTACGATGCACAAGTGACCAAGACCCCCTCGGTGAGCCTGCTATTGCAGCAGCCGGCAGTGCTCAGAGCAAAAGGGGTGGGTAATTACTCCACAGGCTATGGCAAGCAGTCTTTTCATCAATAAACTTCAAGCTACCCAAAACTTTACCGAAAGTTCAGAACATCACCAAGACACAGGTCACGGTTCCTCCCTCCTCTGACAGGACTGAATGATTCTCATGTAAGGTTTCCCACAGCATCTTCCTTACCCATTAAACAAGGTGCTCCCATTGTCTTCCATAGTCTCACAAAGTCACTGGCTGGGTTTCCTCTCCTCTGTTCCCTACAAGGGAAACAACCTGTGAGCAAGGTATGATATACAGCAAGAAAAAAGCAACTTTTATAAAATTTATAGATTTTCAGAAAAATTTTCAGAAAAGGATTAGTATATTACAACAGTGAAATTCCTACAACTTTTCAACTTTGATATTTCAAAAAATGGGAAACAATATGTCCCATATTTCAGCTACGAGCAACCAAGGATTCAGTCATTTACAGGGAAAATAAGCCATAAATGCTTTCAAGGTTTTCTTCTGGGGAAAAAAAAAAGCATTTCTGTTATATACAAAGAAACATTGTCTTTGTATATAACTTGAAACAGTCAGAACTAAAAACTCATGCTAACAAAAATACTCCAGTACCAAAGGCTAAACTTCCTTCTGCACAAGTGTAAAGGATGATGGGTTGGCGAGAGAGTGAGAGGAGAACGGGAGGACGTCTTTGTATTTATTAACTGGGTTTCTGACCTATATGGAAGCAGCAGCAAGTATCTCTAAAAGCAACATATCCTATACTCAAGGGTATTATATTAAGCAAAGATAGCATGTATAAGTCTGATAGGTCACACATGTCACTTTCTAGATTTCTGACATTTCATTTGGGATTTAATAAGACTCAACTGGTGTATTAGCTGCTACGTAACAGGATGGCAAATTCTCTGTTTCATCAGCCTAACAGTGAACACAAGAATTCCTCTTGAGGGAAACTTTCTTTTTGAAAATATGCACCCTGGATATGGGGCCCCACTTCTAAGGTCCAGTCTCCTTGGAGTGGGCGGTTCCCTGAAGAATGGCTGTCAAGATCTCAGAATGGATGTAGAGAAAGGGAAATTGCTCTGCATTCTACGAGGGGAAGGATTTGTTGTTTTATCTCTAAAGGGGCCTGGGAGAAGAATGTGGAGAGGACAGAGAAGAAAAGAAGAGCCGTACAATAGGGCAGAGCTGGGATTGGGTGGGGATGAAGAGCCCAGCCCAGGGTGGCTGAAAGTTGTCTGCATTAATGCAAAGCGAGGCTCTCTCCACCTCTAGTCTGCTCCCTTTCTTTAGTTAGGTATACAAATCGACAATGCCCTGAGTGAATAGAGGCTTTCTGAAAATCAGGCAGACCAAGGTTCACATCTGGGCGCACTTGGTGCAAATCAGTACTACAGGGCAAGAAAAGTCTGGGCCCACAGGCAAAAGAATTACCGACTGAGACACTCACAAAAGCTTTATAGGAAGAGCTTAATTTACTATATATTATAGGCTGCAGGTCTGAGACACTCACCCAGACAAACCACGTTGGCACTGTATGGGCGGAGCCTCAAATTCAAACAGTATCCTTCTCTCTCATCCAAACACTCTGGCTTCCAAAGTAATAACGTCTCCCCTCAAAGCTAATTACAGTTAAAACCAAGTAATTTTAATTTAATTTTAGATATCCCCTCTCCACACCTAACTACGTAAATCACCTCTATACTCAATAAGTAAGATATGTAACCACATGGAATTTATGTTTAACATACTACATTCGATCTTAGTTAAAGGCCATGCTGGGTGTGGTGGCATATGCTTCTGATCCCAGTGCTTTAGAAGCTGAGTTGGAGGCCAGCCTGCTCTGTGGTGCTGAGTATAGAGTCAAATGCAGGGCTTTCCCCATCAGGCAAGCACTCTACCAATAATGCTGTATCCCCAGCCAACAACCTTAACTTTTCATCAGAGACACTGAAACTGTAGCTCAGGGATAAAGTGTTTGCCTAACTCAAGGCCCTCAGTTCAAATCCTAGTACCACAAATCTCAAATGAGACCTGACTCTGTATTCCATTATATCCAGTAAGATGCCAGGAGGATCTGTTCATTTATAAGGGTTGGCACAGATAATGGAAGTGAAAAGCCTTCGTTTTAGAACCAGGGGGCTTTAGTGTATGGCCCAGACCTTAACGTATGAGCTGAGAGACCTTGGACAACTCACTTATGACTTGGGACCCCTAAACTTTCTCCCCTATAACATCAGCTGTACCAAAGATGCTGCCCAAATCAATAAAACGTGTATAAATGCACTATAGATAAGTATGTGTGAGATATTATTCTGGTGAGAGGAGACCCTGGTATTTAAACATTCCGGGAGCTCTGAGCAAGCTGGAATCAAAGAGCTAGGTCATCCAGGCAGAATGAAGAGTTCTGAATTTTTTTTTCTTTTCTTTTTTTTTTTAGGTTTTTCGAGACAGGGTTTCTCTGTGTAGCCCTGGCTGTCCTAGAACTCACTCTGTAGACCAGGCTGGCCTCGAACTCAGAAAGCCGCCTGCCTCTGCCTCCCAAGTGCTAGGATTAAAGGCGTGCGCCACCACCGCCCGGCTTGGTTCTTTATTTTACTTAAATACCACCTAGTTTTAACTACCAAGCTTCATAGGAGCTAAAGGACATAATTAGATGAGAATTCTAGATTGAGAATTCCTTCTTACTAAAAAATAAAATAAAATAAAATAAAATAAAATAAATAAAATAAAATAGAATGAGCTAAGAGTACTGGCTTAGTGTGATCTCGTTCCCAAAGTAATCCCAATCCCCCCACGCTGAGCAGCAGAGAGACAGGCACGGGCATGACCTTATCACCGTGCAGCAGAGCCCCCATCTCAGCGCGCTGGGATTCTCATCCTACCCTCTATGCCTCTACATACAACACATGCTGTTAACTGGGAGAGTCTCACCTTCCAATATAGTCACACCACTTTCAAAACAGCAATGCTGTCATTAGGGATTCCTTAGAAATACTAGAAAATGGGGTGGAAAATGGTTCAACAGTTAAGAGCACACAAGCTCTTCAAAAGGACCTGGGCACCCATGTCAGGAGGTTCACAACTACCTGTAACTTCAGCTCTTGGGGTTCCAATACCCTCTTCTGGTTTCCAAGAGTGCCACCCCCATAAATAAATAATTTTTAAAAGTTTAAAAAAGGAAGGAAGGAAGGCAGGCAGACAGACAGACAGACAGACAGACAGGCTGACTGACTGACTGACTGACTGACTAAACAATGTGCTATAGATGGCCCAGTGGTTCAGAGAAAAGGCTGTTCTTGTAGAGGACCCAGGTTTGGTTCCCACTGTGTCAGGTGGCTCACAAGTACCGGTAGGTAACTCTAGCACCAGAGGGCCCTCTTCTGGAGTCTGTGGGCATTGCATTCACATTCACATACCCCCACCAAGACAGACAGACAGACAGACAGACAGACAGACACACACACACACACTACAATTTTAAAAAAGAAACACTAGACAACAGTTTTTCAAGAACAGAGCTGCAACTTTAAGAGGGAGGGAGGGGACATGTGGGGATGTCCACTGCACTCACAGAGCATCACTGTGCTGGGGTGTTTCACACATTTACCCTGTCAGGGTTTACAAGGAGATGATAGGTGTGAGTGGTGTTTACAGAACAACACAGGGTCAGACTCAGAGACAGGTGTGAGTGGTGTTTACAGAACAACACAGGGTCAGACTCAGTAAATGAGTTGCCCACACATGGCCAAGGAAACAGGGGCACCCAGGGCAAAGTGCTTTACTGGTGCATTCCAGTAACCAAGGAACACAGTTTACAGTCTTGTGTCTATGGTTTGCAGTTACTAACTATGACCCGACCCTGTCTCACAAAGCACTTTTAGAGCTGACAGAGCAGGACCAGGAGTAGTAGAAAAACCCTTTTATTGCTTCACGTAAGCTCTTTAAAAATAGAAACAGGAGCCCAAGGTGGTGGCTCAGTAATGGCATCCCAGCACTCAGGAGGCTAGGCCAGGAGAAGTGCTTTGACTTCATGGCCAGCCCTGACTACACAGTTCTAGGGCCACCCTGAGCTACAGAAAACCTAAAGAAAAAAATGTTTAAATGTAAAGCATAGATTTTCTCAGTTTTAAAATTTACCAAAATACTCAAAAAAACAAAAAAACCCAAAAAACATAAAATTCACCAAAATAAACCAGGTGATGGTGGCATGTGCCTTTAATCTCAGCACTCAGGAGGCAGAAGCAGGTAAATCTCTTTTTTGTTTTTCTGGGTCTTTTTTAAGATTTATTTATTTATTTATTTTATGTATATGAGTACACTGTAGCTGTCTTCAGACATACCAGAAGAGGGCATCAGATCTCATTATAGATGGTTGTGAGCCACCATATGGTTGCTGGGAATTGAACTCAGGACCTCTGGAAGAGCAGTCAGTGCTCTCAACGACTGAGCCATCTCACTAGCCCCATGTAAATCTCTTGAGTTCGAGCCCAGCATGGTCTACAGAATGAGTTCTAGGTCAGCCAGGGCAAAATACAGAAACCCTGCCTTGGAAAAATAAAATAAAATAAAATAAAATAAAATAAAATAAAATTTCCAAAGTAGCACTAGAGCCCAATGAGGAGGAAAAATGGGACTTAAATTTCAGAAAACAACAGTAAACGTAGAGACCATTTGGTGACATAAGCAATGGATAGACTATTCAGTGGTAGATCCCTGGCCTAGCATGCCTGAGGCTCTAGTTTTAATCCTAGCACCTTGCAGTGATAGCCAGAGGCTATTTCAGAGAATACTACCCAGGTACAGAAAGGAACACTTGAGACTCTGTTGTAGCCCTAGACAGAAGAGTAAACAGTAAGCCATATGTTCTCTGCACCATGGAGACAGAGGCAGGAGGATACCTGTGAGTTTTAGTCTGGCCTGGTCTATAGATGAGTTCTTGGCTAACCAGGGATACAAACTGAGGTGTCTTTAAAAAATAAAATTATACATACTGCCAAGCAAAGTGATTGGAACTTGGAATACCTGTGAAAAGGAGGACAGCAGGCAGAACTGAAGGATGTAAGAACTTCTACCCTGATTGCCTAGTGGCCACTGACGGAGGCTGGGAGGTTTACTCTCCAGGACGATGACTACAGAGACTCTGGGTTAGACATACCAAGGTTAGCACAGGTATGAGCTGTTCTAGACAGCCAGGGCTACACAGAGAAACCCTGTCTCAAACAAACAGAAAAAAGAGAAACAAA